AATCTTACTTCAAATTTAACGTACGAAGAGAGACCGAGTCCAAATTCTCAATCGACGGGTCAAACAGTTGAAAAATAAGCGAGATCGGGCTAGTTAAAGTTTTGTGGGAAAACCATAACCTCGAAGAAATGACTTGGGAACGTGAGCAAGAAATGAAAGATAAATACCCCGAGTTATTCAAGTGAATCAATTTTGAGGATGAAATTTCTTTTAAAGAGGAGAGAATTGTAACCCCCGTAAAAACCCTTATCCGTAACGCGACGTGTATTAGAATAATTATATATATATATATATATATATATATATATATATATATATATATTAAGAGTAAGTATAATTCTCATTTTATCATGAGAAATTAATGCTTGAAATATGTGATTTATGTTAAATTAAAGTTATTGTACTTAAGATTAATGGTTTAATTATTAAAGAAATCAAATATGCAAAATCGGTGTTTTAAGGACTATATTCTACTCGAGTTTTGTGTGAATTATTTGAAGACTTTAGGGTAATTTTTGGGTCAACCTTAAAGAATTAATGTTGTTTATCTATGTGTTGAATAGGCCTGTATAAAAGTTTATAATATTTTTACCTATACATTAAGAGTTATACCAATTATAGTGAGGGTTGTTTCGAAATGCATTCTGCTGGAATTTTGGGAGAAGAATCGCCCGAATCTTGTGAGATTTATTTGATGCTGTTAGATTGATTTTTGAGAAAAAATTAAAGAATAAAAGTTGTTTTCTATGTGTTTACCAGCTCTCTGTGAAATTTAATAATGTTTGGATACATATAGAAAGAGTTATGCACATTTTAGTATAGATGGGTTAGGAGGTAACACTTGCTAAAATTTTGGGAAAAAAGAAATTCTGAATTTTAAAAATGGAAATTTCTGAATTTTTTATTAAAGAAATTATGTCTAATTAAATTAACCCAGATTATTAATGTGTTTATTTAGCCTAAGTTTTCTTTAGCCACCTAAGCACTTGAATTAAATGCTTGAAAGCCAAATCATCAACTTTGACTTCCAAAACATGTTAGCTTTGCCTTCCAAGCTTCCTCCACTTTACATTTGGCCTAGTTAAATTTTAACACTTATGATATAAATAAATGAGAGGATAAAAGGTGAGTATATAAGGGAAAGAGAGGGTTAAATGGCTGCCATTTTTAGGCCGAAAACCGTAGCCATCCGTAATTAAAAGAGAAGCCAAATTGAAGAGAGAAAAACAAGCAAAAAGAGAGAAAGAAAGAAAAGAGAAAGAGAAAGGGGAAAAGGAAAGAAAAAGAGCTAAGGAAATTCTAATCAAACCTAAAAGGGGTAAGTAGGTTTCATTTTTTTGGTTGATTAATATCTGAAATTATTTTTTTTTAAGTTATTTTGTTCGTGTTTATTTCATGGGTTGTAATAATTTTCAATGGTTATATGCTTGATGCTTGGGATAAATCTATGTATGGATGCCTTTTTGTGATGATTTATGATGTTATGATGTTTTGAAAAATGCCCAAGTATGTGATGATGGGTTGGATTGAACTTGGACTAAATTTAAGTGAACTAAAACATGTTTAATATTGGCTTGGAATGAACTAATAAATTAGTGTTGATAAGGAGTAAATTCTGTCCGAATTTTGGGGTGTATGTTCTAGGATTTTAGATCGATTTCTAGGTGAAACTTAAAGCATAAACATTATTCATCTATGTTTCAACTAACTTCCTTTAAACTTTCTTGGTCATTGGATTTGTTTACAAAGAGTTATAGCCGATTTAGTATGGATAGCTCTAGACAAACTACTATTAGGCAGATTGCTCCCTAAGTTTCAAAAATTTGTAATTAATTGTGTAATTGGTATTTAGACCTAATTTTTGTATATGTTATAAATAAATATGTCTAGTATCTAAAATAAAATGAGTAAGATTTAATTATGCTCTAAAATTAGAAAATTATTTACTCGATTAGGAGTTGCCCGAGTAATAAACCCTAAAACCAAAAAAAATTAGACTTGGACAAAATTAATAGGTTTGAAATAAACTAAATGAGCTTGGACTAAATAAAATTGAATTAAATAGAGTTAATGGACCTAGGATAAAGTTAATGGGCTCGGATTAAAATAAATGGACTTAGACCTTCTTTTAAATATTAATGAAACTAATGAACAATATTAATGAGCGGAGATTGTGTTCCTGTTGTGGGTATCATGATTGGTATGTGAGCAATGGATAAATTCCGAGTGTGGGGTGGACCGTGAGTATGGCATGAGAATGAAGGGTTGGTACCCGAATTTGGTTAAATGTGATTAAATATGTCATCACATGCATCATGTGCATAGTGGGTGGTTTAAGACAAGTCAATTGATTGAGAAATGGTTTATACATCTAGGTTTGATAACCTAAGCTGGAAAAATGGATATTAGTAGTCCGAGTACTCTAGGTCGTGTGCTCGCACTATTCGATGATGGATTTTCGCTAATAGTAGTTACAACGAGGGATAATTCCGTTGTAGCGAGAAGATGATCCGAGGATCATCTAGATGAAATCAAGTCGTGTGCTTGCACTCTGTTAGACGATGGATTCTCGCTAACGAGTGGTTACAACGAGGGATAATTTCGTTGTAGCGAGAAGGTGATCTCGCGGACCACCCGGATGATAAATAGAGTAGATCGGCTAATACCTAGGGTACCCGAGATTAAAATTTATGAGTATGGTGGGAAGTCAAAACAGCATTGCATATCACGTGCATCACTCGCTTACCGAGCTTCGGCTCACCCCGTTGCTTACCGATAGAAAAAGGACAAGTTGGTACGGATGCGGCTGGCTCCTCCTAACCGGCTCATGTGAGGCACCATATATTAGTTTTTATTTTGTCCGTAAATTTAAGGTATGGAGTTTGTGAGAAATTGAATATTGCTCGTAATGTTTTATTGATGTATTTAATTATGTTATGTAAATTTTATCTTAAGAAGTTATATACGTAATGTACTCGTTAACATTTTAAGAATATCATAAGAAAACTACTTAGAGTTTAGCATATGTCGAGCATAACGCAATTTGTCCAGTACTCTACCCGGGTAGTAGAAATATGATCGGGGCAGGGGCGTTATAGTGACTCTCTAAGGTGAAGAAGGCCTCACGGCCATGATCCAACAAGGAGAAGAAAGATCACGGCCATGAGTTTCAAAAGGAAGAAAAAGCCCACGATCATGAGTTTCAAAAGGAAGAAAAACCCACGACCGTGAGCTTCAAAAGGAAGAAAAGCCCACGACCACCGAGCTTCAAAAGAAAAAAAAAGCCCACGCGTGTGAGCTTAAAAAGAAAAGAAAAGCCCATGATCGTGAGCAAATTTTCGGGGATTTAAGTTTATGGATTGACGCAATAAGGGGAGGAGGAAGATATTCAAGAGGATTTGAAGGAGGATATTCGGCAGCTCTCTCTAATTTAAAAACCCATATTGGACAAAGAGGGGAGAGGCTATGAGAAAAAGAGAGAGGAGTTCTAGTAGCTTTTGTTCTCTCCGGATAGCCATTGAAGACAGATAGGAGATTGGGGAAAATTGGTTCCTAAGCTAGAAAGAGATCAACTTCGGATGGAGCAAAGCAAAACTAGATTTCTTCTTAAACTCGATTTTATTGCTTTCAATTCTTGATTGTGAAGAGATGGAATTTATTATGATTAATTCAGTGAATGCTTATCCGTCAACTATGAACTAGTTTCTATCTTGAGAATTAATGGATCCTTTATTTGAATATGTTTAATTGAATGGTTAATTTGATTATTCTTGTCTTGCATCTATGATTTTGGGATTATTTATATGTGAATTTTTAGCCAACAATTATATATCTATGATATTGGGTTGATATTGATCAAATATAACTCAATGTTAGACTAAAGAATCATAGACACTAGGTTATCAACGAGAGATCCAAGTAACTTGGTGAAGAGATTCGCATGAATAATCATTTAAGTCATTTTGATTAAATATAGCATTTAATCAATGAAGTTATATTCTCAAGAATTCTCTCATCTTGATCTTTATTCCTAGTCTTGTTACGATTACTCTGTAGTTGTTCTACGTTCTCAATTTAATTCATAATCATCAAACGCAAACACAAACTAGTTTAGAGTGTTTAGGATTTTATTTCATTGTTATTGTTTGCAATTGGAATTGAATTATTTTGTGCCAATTACATCTCCTTGAGAATATAACCTTGGTTAACTCACTTGAACCGTAATTACCTCGTGCACTTGCGAGTAATTTGCATATTAATTTATAGTACACTTTTGGGTTTATCAATGCTTTTCAACATTGGATCCCTCATCTATTTTAGTTTTAAAGAGCTTTCTTCCTATCTCATAGTGTTCATGTCTAGTATTCTCCTCAAATAGGTTTTTAAGCTTTGCTATGATATTAAAGGAATTCATGCCTTTATGTTAGCACTATACTTCAACGTCATATCAGCCAATATGATGCTCTAAGAAGTGATTGCATTATCTCTATGTTTCAGCCATGATGTATAAGCTTCGGTTTCGCCTTATCTAAGAGATGTTTCTCTATCGTATAGAGAATGTTCTTATGTTGAAGGATTATCCTTAGATTCATTTTTCAATCAAGGAATTTCATGCCATTAAAGGCATTACTTCCATCAATGATCAATTGCATTACTCGTGTTACTAGTCATACTATGCAATCTAACATGATAGAAAAACATACAATTTAGTTAATTAAATTATATCAATAAAACCAAACATAAATTAAAAAAAATAAAATCTATGTTTCCTCTCACTATTTTCTTTAAGTTCTAAAACCTTCAATATAGGACTCGAGAAAACTTTTTGATTCATTTTCCATTGTAGGTTTAGGATCTCATCCTCTAATATGCATTAACCTTGAGTTATCTCAATAAATTATACATGAAAGATTAGGTAGGCAACTCCTTACCAATTGTTACTAGCGCCTACCACTTAGCAACAAGACACCGCGAACCGGCGTCTAGCGCCAACTAACTAGCGCCGGCGCCCAGCGTCAAGCACCTACCAACCGAGTGCTCGCGAACCAATGCCGGTGCCAATGCTTTCCAACCAATGCCGGTGCCTAGCATCCACCCTATAGCCTCGGCCTCACCCGGCGTCAACACCAACGCCAACGCCAAACGCCTAGCACCAATGCCAACTCCGAGCACCGGCGCCGGTAACTTGCCGAGCAACCACTACTTTCACCCACCTTTCCCCCTCGGTTGATCGAGTATTGGTCTCCATCGGGGTTGAAAAAGGTCGGATCCGACTTCGAGATCGTTAAGAGAATTTGTCCAGCTCGTTTTCTTTATAGTAATTTTTTTTTTACTTTTTCTTTCATTTTATTCTATTTTTATTTTAATATGTATTAAATTTGATTCATGTTGATATGTGTTATGTAATTAATTAAATGATTGTGTTATGTAATAATTTGATATGTTGTTCATGTGTTATTTGTTGCTTTGTGGTGATGCATGTTGTTTATTTTGCAATTAGATGATGAATGATGTGTTGGTTTGAACATTTGAGGTATTTGTTGTTATTTGAAATGTATATTTTAAAGTACATTTTGTATGGTGATTTTATGAAAAAAAACACAACGTCGAACCAAGCAAGTTTGAACTATTGCCATGTAACTCTGTTTTCGTCAAACATGGCCCAATGAGTAATCCCTTGAGTCAGCGCAAAATCCTTTCTTTCTTTGTTCTAGCGCCCGAGCCTTCTTTTTCTTTCTTCCGGTTGGGGAAATGGCTCATTATTATTGATGTGTCAGGTGTCAAACCCTTTTCTTATTCTTTTAGTTCTTGTAGTTGCTTTACTCGTGTGGGATTAATTATGTTTGCCAAAGCAATTAACTTCGCCAATTTTTTGATTTTCTCCAACTTTGGTCCAATTGCCAATTTTCGTCAAGTTTTGCCTACATGTGCTTAAACTCGTCGATTTTTCCCTAAGTCTGCCAATTTTAGCTTCGTTTTTGCACTAATTGTCAATTTTTGCCTATGATTGCCTAAGTTGTCAATTTTTACTGGTTTTTTCTTAAATCGTCGACTTTTTCCCGTGATTACATGAATTTATAATTTTCATTTATTTTTTTCTTAATTGCATATGTTTACCTATGATTGCATCAATTGTTGATTTTTACTTATTTTTTGTCTTAATTACCAATTTTTACCAATGATCGCCTAAATTGCCTATTTTTAATTATTTTTGCCTTCATAATCGATTTGTATCATAATTTTCTAAATTGTCAATTTTTTCCTATTTGCCAATTTTGCCAATCTTTGCCTATTTGTCGATATTTGCCTATTTGTCAATTTTGCCTATTTGCCAATTTTTGCCTAATTGTCTATCTGTCGATTTTTATCAATTTTTCCTATTTACCAATTTGCCTATTTGCTAATTTATTGATTTTGCCATTGTTTGCATGTTTGTCTATTTTTGTCAATTTTGCCAATTTCGTCTATTTGTCGATTTCGTCAATCTGTCTGTTTTGTCTCGTTTGCCTATTATCTTTCAGCTTTGTTTTCATGCACCTTGTCTAAGTTGCATTAGTATCACATCCTTGCATTCATAATTTTTTAGCCATTCATTACAGAGTGAGGATAAGGTCTCTAACCGGCCAAGACTCAAATCACTCAACTAATGGGCAAATGCTTGAAAAATAGGTATAGTCTTTCATCATTAAAAATTAGAAATCAAGTCGGTTTTGTATGCAATGCGGCTTGCCTTAAGCGGGACGGGGTAGGGTGATCTTTAATCTTCCCTACACGTAATAAACCCCTTATCCAAAACTCTAAGCGAGATCGAGTCATAGGTTTTCCTAGTAACCATAATACTAGGTGGCGACTCCAGATCATTTTTGCTCATTTTTCCCCATTTTCACCTCAACTCGCCACCCTTGCCATCGACGTCGCCCAACGACACCAATTACATCCAATGCAATTCTTAATCTCATTGGCATGACAACTCTTTGTCATCTTATATCTTATGTGAATACCAATCTTTATCTATAAGTTTATTAGACCTTGAGTTATCCTAACAAACCCAATAACTCATTTCAAACTAGACCTAAACATTCGAGGACATCATATGGTCGATGATTTGATTCCCTTGAGGAAGAAGTGACCTTGAGTTATCTCAACAAGTCAATAACGACCAATAGAGTTCTCGCTTCATAATATTAGAAGGCAATTAACTTAATATTTAATTTAAAAGATTTAATATTATAGATATCATCTCACATGCATACTAGTCATCAAACACGTTAATCCTATCATTTATACTAAACATCATAAAATTAATAGCATACATCTTATACATGACTCAAGAATTGGTGAATGATAATAGATCTCTAACACTAGCCCCTTCGAGTCATAAGGAGAATAGTGAGTCAAATACCTAGGTGAAAAATTATTATAAATTCTTTGGAATTGTCTTCACTTTTTAGCTTCTTCTCCTTCCATCTATTCTAATTCCTATCTTCTACCTTTACATTTATTTGAATAAGAAACCTTGAATTACATTTGAGTGAAGTAAGATGAGAAGAGAAATATAATAAAATGATAGAGAAGGTAGGACACGCAGACCCTTTTTATCTAAAAATTATAAATATTCATTCCCATAAACTGGGTCGACTCATCCATGTTTTAATCACATTGATACATGACATATTAATGAAACACATTTCATTTTAATCGTAATTATAAATCTATATTTTGGTCATTTTATAAAATTATTAATTTTTTAAAAAATTTTAATTTTAAGATATTTAGGCCTTGGGCCTACTTTGGGTACATAGATTTCAAACCTCGAGGGCCCATAGGTTTCCACAACCAAGCCACTAGCTCGGCCTCGTACTAGCCATAGGCTCGGCATGTTTGTATGTGTCCGGCTTACTCATAGTCACTAGCCTTATGTGCTCACTCGCATCCGGCTTACTTGTCTAGCACTTACACGCGCCTAGCATGCTCGCACCCAACCCGTACTTTATTTGCACTAGGCACGTCTTGGCTCGACCTTAGGCCCGGTGCACGCCTAGTGAATGCTTGTAATATCATGTGCCCAATGAGTGACTTAGCCTCGCCAAGCCGGCTCGGTATGCGTAAAGTATGGCTTACATGTCGAATGCCTCACATGCGACTTGCCTTGGATAAAAGGCCCGGCGTACGAGAGGCATGCTTAGTCCGTCGTATGACCAAGCACGCGACTAGCCGGCCTCCTTACGTATGCATGTGAGCGTCAACATTTAGCATTGGCCTCACGCGCCCTACTCCTTTAAAGCCTACATTTAAGTTTTAAAAAATATATAAAATACCAAAAATATAAGATTTACAATCAAGAATTGGTAATTCATACGGTTAATCATAATTAACAAAGCATGCAATAAAAAATTTAACGAAGGCTCTAATACCAATCGAAAGATCATGTATCATATGGAGGTGTGGAATAAAACAAAAATTTTCCTCTATCCGAGGCTCCCGAAATCAAGCCATTAAATCAACAAATCATATATACATGTATTAAAGCATAAGTAAGGATTACCTCTTATGGTATAGAAAAGAATTCGTCCAATCATTCAGCCTCTATCGATAATTCATGTAGTCCAAGCACCATACAAGAAGCACTCGAAGTAGTTGAGTGCTAGCTCCACCTTTTTTGGACTCATTTAGTTTTTTCTCTTTAGAAATCAATTCAAGGATATTTTATGGCAATCCTAAGAGAGAGGGGAAAGGTGGTGGTGTGTGTGTGTGTATAAGGAGAAAACTATTTTCTCCCTTTTTATTTCTTTTTGCCATGTAGCCCTACCTTGCTCTCCTCTATTACCACACTTCAATTATATTTATAGAGGGAGTGTCTTCCTTGTCCTCTAAGAATAAAGAAGTGGCAGCAATGAGTCCTCAAAGAAATCTTGGTTATTGCTTCCTAATCCTCTAAGGATTAAAAGTTACTATGCATATGGGCATTTTTTATCTTATCCTTTTAAACCTTCATCCTTATCCAATAAGGTTAATTTTATCTTCCCATCAAAATATCTTACGGGCCTTTAAATTAAATCTATTGGCCAAAACTACATTGGCCTAATTAATTAATAATTAATTTGGACTATCTAAATAAACTAGGTTAGATATTTTTAGGAGGCCCACATCATGAAACAATTTCCTAAATTATCCTTAAACCTCAATTAGGAAACTAATTTCCCTTTTAGGTAACTTACTTTCAAATTTGGAACCGACTTCCAAATTAGGAAACTATTTTCTAAAATAGGAAACTTTCCATTTTATGAAACTTTTTTCAAAATGGAAACTTTCAAAATTAGAAACTTTTTCAAAATCTTTGCTTCTTTTTTATCATATGAATACTTAAACTTATGCATGTGACTTAATAGACTCCTAGATATGTTGGTAATATATCAAGAATAAAAGATACCTCTTTTATCTCTTGATACATAAATCAAGATTGGCTTCTAGTAAGGCATCATGACTATCTAATTTTCTAGGAGAATTAATTAATCTATAATTACCTTTCATGAGTATGGTTACTATATAATTGAGTTCGCATGTCAATTTATCACATTGTGATCTCAAACTTGGTTATTAGTCTATTTGATTATAATCACATAAGTTTTTTTTTATTCCTAAAAGTCTTAGCTCTTAGGGTAAGCCAACTATGCTCCATTGGTGTACTCCTAGTGTGACTATAGATTTCCTTCAAACATTTATCGAAGTGCAATGCGATAACTTCTTTAGCATACAAAGAATGACATGTCCTATGTTAGTCATCCACCTACCTCCATTAGATTTCCAAGTGCACCCAATGAATTGCCTACGTGCAACGAAACGATTGTCAAAATGCATAAATCCTCTAATGATATAACCGTGATGACTTCAACTCAAAAGGTCATTGTATCCATCTCATATGAGATTCTCATAGGCTAAACCAAATGAGTTGGCATGGTAAGCCAAGTTCGATGATATATTCTCTAACATTAATTATGTAAGTGCTTGCTTTGGCATCACGATGCTAATAGGTGTGAGATCTCCTACTCGTTATCATATAGTATAAGCATAGCACTCATAAGTCTAGCCGTATATAGTCAATTTCCATTCTTAATAATGCTATGACTTCGGAAATTTAATGATATCATTTTAGTGTGTTAATATTTATCTCAAATCTTTT